CTTTTGCTGCGTTAAGGATCTTCTCTTTATCTTTGGAATTTGCAAGTTGCACTATTCAATGTCGAGGTGTTGAGCGGTTTTTATTTATTTTATGGGGGGATCTCTTTATCTCCTGAATGCCTGTTTCCCTTCCCAAGTTAGGAAAATTCCCAGCTATGATTTGTTCAAATACATAGTCTGGACCTCTGTCCCTTTTGGTGCCCTCGGGAACCCCAATTAAACATAGATTTTTCCTTCTTAGGCTGTCATTTATTTTCCTTAACCTATCCTCATGATCTTTTAATCGTTTTTCTCACTTTTCTCAGTTTCCCTCCTTGCCATCAACTTGTCTTCTGTGTTACTCACTCTTTCTTCTACCTCTTTAACCTTTGTCATTAGGACCTCTAGTTTGGATTGCATCTAATTTAATTGATTTTTAATTTCTGCCTGATTAGATCTAAATTCTGCATTCATGAAGTCTCTTGAATCCTTAATGTTTTTTTTCTAGAGCCACGAGTGGCTTTATAATTGTGCTTCTGAATCGGCTTTCTGACATTGAATTGTAATTCAAATTTTGTAACTCTGGAGAGAGGACTGTTTCTGATTCTTTCTTTTGAGGTGGGTTTTTCCTTCTAGTCATTTTGCTCAGTGCAGAGTGGCCAAAAACAAGTTGTACTGGAAAAGGAGAAAAAGAGAGAAGAGAAAAAAAGAAAAAAAAAAAAGAAGAAGAAAAAAAAGGGGGGGTGGGAAGCAAACAGAAAACAAAAAACAAGGGGGAGTATCCTCTGATTCTATATACTGTAAATCCCTGGACTTCCCCTGGAACTTTCCAGTGCTGCTTGGTCAATAACTTGCTTTTCCCCTGTCCTTCTAGATGGTCTTCTGGGGGAGGGGCCTGCTCTGCTAATTCTCAGGTGTGTGCACCTGGGGGAGCTGCTCAGCCCCCTGCCTGGTGCAGGGCTCAGTGGGAGTTGTTTATCCTGTGAGGCCTCAGGAGGAATGACAACAGTGGCGGTGGCCAGCTCTCCAGCCCTAGAGTCAGCTCCCGTAGTAACTACCGCAGCTTCCAGTCTGCAGGGATTTGGATGCTCCGGGGGGTGGGGGCGCTGATCTGCACAGCTCGGGGCCGCCTAGCGCAGGAGCAGGACGCTGTCCTGTGCACTCCCGGCCTCTGCCTGCCCTGGGGGGTGCGTCGTATACTGGGCTGTGTCCCCAGATACCCTGTTCTCCGGGGCCTGCGCTGCTGGAATTGTGCTCCTGGCTGCGCAGCCCACTCTGCAGAGCTTCTGCCTGAGCCACCCCCCGCGCTGCTCCCGGGGCCCGCCAGCATGGGCTGCAGCCCCTTAGGGAGCTTGGCCGTCGGGTGTGGCGCGCTCTCCCCAGGGCGCAGGTGCTCTGTTAGTGCCCCTGGGAGTCTGAGGGCATCCCCACCTCTCCTGGGATCCTGCTCCAACTCCCTGCGACCGCCTTCCATCCAAGAAGATTGGTGAAGCTCCTGCTTCTTCCTGATGGGGCTTTCCTGTCCTGGGGACACTTGCCCCGGCCTTAGCCCGGCTCCTCGCGGGGCCCCTCCTCCTTGGATGCTTTTTTTTTTCTTTATTTTTTTTTCCGTCTTCCTACCTTGATTGAAGCGTGAACTCTTCTCACTGTAGCATTCCAGCTGTTCTCTCTTTAAATCTCAGACCAAATTTGTAGGTTTTCAGGATGATTTGAAAGTTATCTAGGTAATTTGGTGGGGACAGGTGACTTGGAAGCCCTACTCTTTCACTATCTTGCCCCCTCCTCATGTGAGTTCTTTATACATTTTTGATATTAACTCTTTATTGGTTATATCTTTTGTAGATTATCTTCTTCCATTCAGTAGGTTGCCATTCCTTTTTTTTTTTTTTTTTTTGATGGTTTCCTTTGCCTTGCAAAAACTTTTTAGTTTGGTGTGCTTCTATTTATTTATTTTTGCTTTTGTTGTCCTTGCTTGAGGAGACTGATACAAAAAAAATATATATATATATTGCACAGACTAATTTCCAAGAGCTTACTACCATCCATGTTTTCTTCTAAGAATTTTACGGTTTCCAGTCTTCCATGTAAGTCTTTTATCCATTTTGATTTTATTTTTGTATATGATGTAAGAAAGTGGTCCCTTCCCCCTAAAAAAGAAAATGTTCCAGATTAATTCTTTTGTGTATAGTTGCCCAGTTTTCCCAACACACTTTATTTATTTATTGAAGATTTTATTTATTTATTCATGAGAGACACAGAGAGAAAGAGAGGTAGAGACATAGGCAGAGGGAGAAGCAGGCTCCCATCAGGGAGCCCGATGTGGGACTCCATCCCTGAACTCCAGGATCAGGCTGAAAGCAGATCTGAAAGCAGAACTTAAACGCCAAGCCATCCAAGCTTCCTTCCCAACAATTTATTGAAGAAACTGTCTTAATAATTTTGGGTTTTTATTTCAATATTTGGGTGTTTAATTTCTTTAATTTTGAAAGGATGCTAACAAGCATAGCCTTATTTCCTGAAAAATAGAAGTCATTCAACTCATTGAATTTAATGAGAGAAATTCTAACTACTCATTCAGTGTCACTCTTCAGTGATTAGCAAGCTATATGAAGGCAATGTCTGTGGATACAGCATATGTATTGCTGTATTCCTAACTTCTATTTATGCCAACAACTGGAACAAATGAGTGTCCATGCATGTTTATTGAACAAATGCATGAAAATGGACCTGGGGTTTATAAGATACTGCTGGAAAGGGAGACCTGTAGTAGGCTCATTTTTCTCATTGATTAGTTGTATGACCTCCGGTTAAGTATTTTACCTCCTCAGTCTTTTTAGACTAAACAATTTTTATAAAAATCCACAATACTTCCGAGTCTTAAACAGATCCCAGACTAAACACAAAGCTCAATGCGGGTCCATGAGATCAAGCCCTGAGCTGAGACCAAGAGTCCAATGCTTACAGGACTGCACCACCTAGGGGACCCTACCACTTTTAAATGTTGAATAGTGTTAAGCACATTCACCGTTTTTGAACTCTGTTTTATGTTTATAGTATGGAACTATACCCATTAAACAACAACTCCCCATACTACCCTTTTCCTAGACCATGGACGTCACCTTTCCTCTTTTTTGTCCATATGGTTTGACTACTCCAGGTACCTCATATAAGTGGAATGATAACAGTATCTGTCTATTTGTGACAAATAGACAATTTGTCTATTTGTGGCTTATTTCATTTAGCATCATGTCTTCATGGTTTATCCATGTTGTAGCATGATAAGAATTTTCTTCCGTTTTAAGACTGGATGGTTTTCCATTGTATGTGTGAACCACATTTGGTTGATACATTTATCTGTTGGTGGACACTTTAGTTGCTTCCATCTTTTGGCTATTGTGAATAGTACCGCTATTAACGTGGGTCTACGAACATCTCTTTAAGACCCTGCTATCAATTCTTTTGGGTATATACCTAGAATAAAACTGCTGGTAACTTTATTTTTAATATTTTAAGGAATGAACATTCTGTTTTCCATAGTATCTATATGATTTTATATGCCACTAACAGTGTTAGTTACTCTTCAACATTTGTTATTTTCTGTTTTTTTTTGGTTTTGTTTTTGATAGTAGCTACTCTAATGAGTTTGAGATGATTCTATATTATTTATTTTCTGAAGAGTGTTGCTATTATTTTTACATTCAGAGTGAACTATAAAGACATTTCCATTTTGTAAAAAATTCATTAGTTAACAACTTTTTTAGTATTGATCCAATATTATTGTCTATCATTCCAGCAGGTACTACATTTATTTCAGATGTAGTAGTAAATTGTTTATTGGGAAATTAGGGTTGATTACTATGATAAATTAGAAGCTTGATGCTGAAGGGTGTTTTGAGTTTTTAGTAAAGCACTGTATCCTAGTAAATATCTTAATTGTTTTAAGCAGTAAAAGGTGGAAACCCAAGAATTTTCATTCTTAGTAAATATTAACTGCTAACTTTTTTGATGGAATATTTTTGCTCAGCTTTTATTGACTAATTAAGCTTATATTTATCAATGTCATTTTAAAAAACAATTTTATTTGAGCTATAATTTATCATAAAATTAATCTACTTTATGTGTACAATGATTTTTAGTAAATGTACTAAGTGTGCAACCATCACCGTAATCCAGTTTCTATCCAATTTCTATCTCCCCAATAAGATTCCTTGTGACCAGGAACTTTCTGGCTATATAGAATTGTTGACAAAATATTTCTTATAACTGAACTGTATTTATTGCTTCTCTTAAATGAATCCAAATGTCTTTTATCTCCTGTAGCCTCCTGCATGAAATATATACATCATTAAATAGGTAAATTTTATTTAGAGGACTATATAATGATACACATGAAATGTGTTTGAATTTGTAAAATTTTTAGCAAGGAAAATCTTGCATCAGAGAAAAAAAATCTTTCATGTTTATTTTAAGGTTTCAATTAAACATTTTTCTATTTGACTTTAGTTTTAGATCTTTTACATCTGGTTTATTTTCAGTAGATCACAGTAGAAAAGATTGACAAGCTAATGAAAAACGCTTTTAATTATCTGCTGCTCATAAACATCAAAACCTTCCTAGGCAGGTCATGTTTATAGATTATTAAAATGAGAAAGAACTTAATAGAACAGTTATCATTAATAGAGTAATAAATGCAGTCATTGGCATGGTATTTTCCTTTTACTTCACCAGAGGGCACTCTTTTCTAGTCTATTTTAACTCTGATCTATTGAATTATTATACTTTGAAAGATTTAAATCCTTTACTGGGATGCAGGTTTGGATTATTTGGAGACTAATGATTTTATTTTGTAACTTTCAGTCCATTTTTTGGTGATTTTTTTAAATATTAGCATTAAAAAGAATGCAATAAAAAGCCAATTTTAAATGTTATAGGTAGTAGTGTATCTGGCGTAAAATATGTCTTCAATATCTTCCTTTTTTTGCCTAACGCTCTGTAATGTCACTATTTCTGTCCATGTTAAGGTTTCAGATCGAGTGGAACGACGGCTTCAGGAAATAGAAAGAGAGATGCGCACAGAAAGAGAGCTGGTGGAAAGACGTCAGGATCAACTGGGAATTATTTCTTTGCAGCTGCAGGAGGTTTGTGAAAAATACCTTCTCAGAATGTAAATATTGAGTTTGGATAGTTATTTAGCCATTGTTAAAATGGTTAGAGTTCCTTGGTCATTACATACATATTTTGGTGCATATGAGAAGTATAGCATATGGGTTATCTAGTTCATTGTGTGAACACAGCCCTACCTGGTTCAAACTCAAAGTCTGCTGCTTGCTGGCTGTGTGGCCTGGGGCAAGTTCCTTATCTAGGCCCATTTCCTCTGTGGAAAATGGAAATAATAATAGTATTTACCTAATCATGTTGGTGTGAGGATAAATGAATGAACACTTATAAAGCATTTAATATAGTGTCTGGCATGTACTAAAAAATATGAAATGAAAGTATGATTACCCTGATCAGTTTTTCTTGGGATGAACTAGACAGGGGTCAGTCAGCAAGCTATGGCCAATGGGCCAAATGTGGCCTATTGCCTATTTTTGTAAATACAGTTTTATTGGAACACAGCAATTCCATTCATTTACTATTTGTGGGTGGTTTCTTGACACTGTGGCAGCACTGAAGAGTTGTAAAAAAGACCATATGACCCACAAAACCTAAAGTATTGACTGTCTGGCCCTTTTATAGAAAGTTTGCCAACCCCTGGACTAGACTATAGTCAAACCATTCCAAAATTGAGATCACTTACCTTTTAGGTACCTTTTTTATTTTGAAATTTCAGACTTAGGAGGGAGTTGAAAAATTAGAACAAAGAATTTCTTCTGTATACCCTTTACGAAGATTTCCCCCAATATTCACATTTTACCCCACTTGCTCTGTCATTTTATGTATTTATGATAATTAAAACAATTATACATTACAGATATATAATTTTTTGAGCTAGTTGCAGAAGTGATGTAAATACTTTTAAACCTAAATAATATAGTGTGAATATTCTCTTCCGTAATCATAGGAAATTAACATTGGATCAATACTATGATATCTATACTTTTTTTTTAATCTATACTTTTTATTCAAATTTTGCCACTAACATCCTTTTCTGGTCCAGGATACAGTAAGGGTCACATACTGCTTTTGTCTCTTCAGTCTCTTTTGATCTAGAACAGTTTTTTCATTTTTTCTTTATTGTTCATGATTTTGACAACTTTGCAGAGTGCTGGCCAGTTATTTTGCAGAATGTTGTGCAGTTTGGTTTATTGATGTTGTCTCATGACTGAATTCAGATTATGGACTTTTGGCAGGAAACTCAGAAACTTGGTGTTGCATTTTTTCCGGGACACCTTTATTAAGAGGCATGTAATGTCTATTTATTCTATTACTGGTGAAAACTGAACATTTGGTAACATTCATGAAGCACTTGTTACTACAAGTGATGCTAAATAGTGATATTTTTTGGTACACATTCCATCATTTTTTCTACATTTATTAATTGGATTTCTATTCTGAGGAAAGGCTTTGCTTTTTCCAATTAATTAATTAATTAATTAATGTTGATATCGATTTGTGAATTCTCACTGTATTACACTGGTTATGTTTTATTACTATGATTGTAGAAAATTTGGGCAGCCCGGGTGGCTCAGTGGTTTAGCGCCTCTTTCAGCCTAGGGTGTGATCCTGGGGACCTGGGATCTAGTCCCACGTCAAGCTCCCTGCATGGAGCCTGCTTCTCCTTCTGCCTGTGTGTGTCTTTGCCTCTTTCTCTGTGTTTCTCATAAATAAATAAATAAAATCTTAAAAAAAAAAAGAAAATTTGTTGAATTTCCCTTTAAATATGTATCTATACATAGAATATAAAAGTTAAACTCTATGTGTGCTTGAAGATCATTGACCCTTATAAATTGATGTATTAATTTTTTTTAAATGATTAGGATATACTGCCAATTGAAAATTAGGAGCAAAAATGGCAACCCTGAAATTATAATGTAAGCAATAGAAAAATCTACCCTTGTTTTCTAAAATTCCATTTTCTTCCATTTTATAAAAGGAGGCATACCCCTGTTAGTTGGTAATTACTTTGAAGAGGATACTTTGTTGAATAATTAGATGTGGGTAGCCTTTTTTTTTTTTTTAAGTTTGATTTTTATACATTTGTTCTCAAAGCAAATTGCATCTGGTGAGCATAAGAATAGTACTGAAGAGACAATTGTTCTTTTTTGCAAGAGAAAATTAGAGAAATTTTCCATACTTATTTTCTTCTTTCTTTGCAGAATGCACAAAATTACAAAGAAAGAGGGAAAGGAAGATTGCTTCCCACCCCTATTCTTGAGAAACCCGAGCCTGAATATTTGCATTGTAATTGTCAATTTGACTAAAAGCTTGAGCTGTGATTTGGAATTCCATCTCTGACAATACAGTAGAGGATCACTATTGATAAGAAATGTTTAATTTCATATTTTGTCACTTTAATATGAGTGGTGACCTATACGCCTTTAAAAGGTGGTTTTGGATTAAACAGTGCAGTGGAAGCTGGAAGGATTAATTTAGGCTGATATGTTTCCTACTCCCAAGTTAAGTGGCTTAGGCTGTTCTGGAAAGGTCATGTTTAAGGAAAGGAAACACTTTGTTTTCTTTTCAATATTGCAAAACGTACTTTTGCAAATACCTATGCTGTATGATGATAGTAATTGATATATTTTGTTTCTGGCTATGGTGAGAAAATGAATCTATAGGTGAGTAAGGAGGTCTGGACTTTTAGCCACTGTACTCTTCTGCCTCCCTAAAATGTGTAATTCAATATTAGTGAAATTATGACATTTAAAAATTGTTAAGATAATAGGAGTATTCATTAAAAATTCCAGGATATCAGAGATTTCTAGGTATAATGCCATATTATGGGGAGGCAATATGTAGTTTTGGCTAAAACCTTCTTTTTAGTGATCTTAATGAGGTTCTTAGGTCCTTGGAGTTTTATTTGTTCCCATTTAATGAAAAATAGTTATTAATCATTGGAAATTGGTTGAGAAACAGCTACTCTGCTCTTCTTGTTTAGAGGTCTTAAGGAATTATTCACGTTTTTTTTTTGTTGTTGTTCACTCTTTAATGTGTATGTGTGTGTTTTTTTTTCTCCCTCCTGGTCTAAGCAGGAGGGCTATGGTCACTGGAATCTGCTTCCTTTATTGAGTCGCAACTATTCATGTGCTATTGGTGTCACATGAATGTCAGATTTTCTTTAACTTGATAAGGACATTCACTGGCCTTCAGACTTCATATATCATATTTTAAACAATGTTGTTTTCATACCTCAGTAGAGGCCTTCTTAGGTGATTATTTTATATTGTATAATAAATATTCTTTTTATGCATCTCTTAAATTTTGAATGGTTATTCTAATATTCTGAAATTTAAATAATAAAATTTAAATATTGTTAAGCCTATAACCATCAATCTTTCCTTGTTATTAAACCGATGTGCAAACAATAAAATACTTGTTTAACATTTATCATATTACAAACTCCTTTTGATCAGATGCTTGATAGTAACTTTGATTAGTTAAATTTAGTGGAGCAGGGGAGGCATGGTGGGTGCTAGGGACACAAAGTATTTAGAAATAAACCCAAGTTAAGACTTTTCTTTTGGTAGGCCCCCAGATAACATAAAATCCCAATAAATTCTTGGCTATGGCATCTTGGGAATTTCTGACTTGTTTTTTTACTAGCTGTTTCTAATAAATTGAATGTTATATCTTCGTCTTCATTTGAATTACTTAAAATGAAATACATGAGATAAGTGCTGGGTTCATATTTGTATATGCCTTTCAGAATATTTTATAGTATATTAAAGTGCTAGTTCTCCCACTTACTCTCACCAATAATATTCCATGCTTGCCAGTGATCTAGGGTGAATCAGTTGCCTCAAGGCTTAAAGGTGCTTCATGGAGAAGTCTGTGGGGAAGGTGAAGTATGGAATCTTAACTGAAGATGTTGAAAATTAGTGGGAAATTGTTAAGTGTAAAATGGGAGCTGAGCACAGTGGTTTTCAGTCTGTACACCTATGAGAAACCAGATTATGTGAGCCTCATCAGTAACATTAAAGCCTTGTACAGAAAAGTTTAAGTGATTGATAGATTTTTTTTCCCCAATATTTTTCTTCAACTTTTGGCATCTGTACCAATTGTGAAAAACCTAATGAAGAAAGAGCTATTTGTTCCTTCCCAGAAACGTCATTATGGCTCCAGAGATGCTGAGTAATATGGATACTTCACCTAAGAAAAGCCTTGGGTACAGCTTATAAATGTATTTAGTTTGGACTCATTAAGGGAGAAGCTTCTAAGGAAGCCAAGAATGTTTTCCTAATGTCCTCTTAATAGCTTTAGCATTTCCCTTGAGACTTTTGTGTCAATTCAGAGGAGAACCTAGTCCGGCAAATGTTCTAATGTGGCCTCATTAACCCCTTCCTTTTGAGACTCTTCTTCTTGGTTTGGAAACATGGAGGCCTTTCTGAGGCTGGTAGATTTTGGACTCTCTGTTGCTTACTTATCTTTCCCAGACTGAATTGTCTAACTTTTGTTTGGCACTTTACCCTCATGTTTCCATAGTCAGTGCTCTGACATTTTCATATTTATTTCATAGTATAAGCTTCCCCTTCCCCACTGTTATTACTAGATACTTTTTTTATATAAATGCCCATTAAATCACCCTACATTGACCAGTCCAATAGCCTCCCTGGGCTTTGAAAAAGGCCAATAGAATATACAGGTAAATAGGAGTTTAAAATACAAGCTCCATGTAAAGCATGAGGAAAGCTTAGAAGATGCACCTTATTTTCCCATTCCTTGGTAAATTAGCTCTAGTATGTAGTCCTTTTTGGGTCCTGGTGACCACGTGGGATGTAGTAAACCCCAAATAACACAGTAAGGGTGATATTCAGGAGCCTCAGATTACTAGCAGCCTGAAAGCAGATGTTGCTGTATTATGTCTCATATAATTCTTTTATTTAACATTTTTATTAAATATTTAGTATGGAATGTATTTAATCCTGTAATTTAAATAAATGTATAACTGAATGTGATCATATCATAAATGGTCATA